CGGAAGCAGCCGCAGCCAGTATGTAAATAAACAGGCGCACGTGGCTGTGTTCTAATAAACTCTATTTACAACACCAGGCAGGTGGTGGGCAGGATCTGGCCAGTTTGCAGACCCTTGCCTTAGACATAACCCACATTTTCAGAAAAATATCAAGTATTCAGTGTGGGTCAGTAGTTGACCCCTTAGTCAGTAAACAAGAGAGACGGAAACACAGCAGACACGTCCACTAGGATCCAAAGCCGGGGTGAAGCACACAGCTCCCAGAAAAGAGTCCGAGGGGACACCTCAGTAAGGGTCACTACATCAACACCTCATTACCGAAGCCATAAATTAGGGACGTTTATTTCTGCATCTTCTGACTTCAGGGTAATCCCACAGAACAGGGCAGCAAAAAGCCCTTCTAGCATCTTGAGATCCTCAGAAACAAAAGTCCTGTTTAGAATGAGACAGTTTAAGATTTCCCATAATATTCCCCAAAATTAAAAAAAAAAGAAAGAAAATGAATAAGGAATGTAAGCAATTAGCCCTATAAACAACCTATAGCTTTATATTTCAGAGAGCTCATTCAAAACGTTTATTGTTTCTTAAATGGACGTTTAGGGGAAATTTTTACATTTAAACCCAAGGCTTTGAAATTGAACATAAGTAATTTTGAGCTACAGTTGGCTGAGAGATTCTATTGCTCCCTGCTCTCCTGGGGCTCAACAATGTACAGTGGTATGGTTGAGGGGTGAATTATGTGCCCAGTGTGGCTATAACTCAGTCTGCATCCCGGCCTCCCAGGGTGGCCCTGTAGCTTACAGGCATGTCATAAAAACTCTCTGGTGGCTGTTGGTGGGAATGTAAAATGGTGCAGCCACTATGGAAACAGTATGGTGTTCCTCAGAAAATTAAATATAGATCCACCATATGATCCAGCAGTTCCACTTCTGGGTATATGCCCAAAAGAACTGAGAGAAGAATCTCAAAGAGACAGTTGCACACCCGTGTTCACGGCAGCCTTATGTACAACAGCCAAAGTGCGAGAGCAATGCACTGTCCACCCACAGATGCGCAGACAAACAAAATGTGGTACCGTACACACAGTGGAATATTATTCAGCTTCAAAAAGCAAGGAAATTCTGATGAACCCTGAGGACTTTATGCTACGTGAAATAAGTCAGACACAAAAAGGACGAATACCATATGATCCCACTTCTGGGAGGTACCTAGAATAGGTACGTGAAGACAGAAAGCAGAATGGTGGTTGCCAGGGGGAAGCGGGGTATGGGGGGCTTTTGCTTAATGGGAGTGGAGTTTCGGTTTTGCAAGATGAAAGGAGTTCGGGAGCTGGATGGTGGTGATGGCCGCGCGATAACATGAATGTACTCACCATTATTGAACCGTGCGCTTCGAAATGGTCAAGACGGTAAACTTTGCGCTGTGTGTATTTACCACAGTTTTTTTTTAAAGTCTGTGGTGGGCAAGGCCTCAGTCGCCACGAGCCCCGCTGGGCAATGGCGGGGCGCAGCGGAGGCGCCTGGGCGCAGGGTGAGACGCGACTGCTCAGCCCAGAGCCAGCAGCCCCAAAGCCTTCCCTGGAATAAGCTTCAGCCTCTGATTTCCACTTGTCTACGAAAATAAGAGGTTTCGTTTGCTTGTTCTTCTGTCCACAGAAACACCCTGCTGTTTGCTCCTCCGTGGACCGTTCGGGGCCTTTGCACCTGAGTGAACCAGCGGCTCTCTGCGCAGGGGGCTGCCTTCCCAGAAGCCCCTGGGGCCCAGACGCTGGGTAAGTGGGGCCCCCAGGGAGCAGCTCGGGGTGGGAAGGGGGGAGACGTGGGTTCTCACAACAGCAGTTCTACTTTCGGCCACGGCCGAGATATCCTGCAGGAGCAGACGGGGTCCACCGGCAAAGCCCCATCACCACCCACGCCCCACCCTGCTCCTCCTCTGAGATCCGGGCCTCTGACGGGGAGGACGAGCCCACGCAGCCCCAGGGCCTCTCTAGCCCCACAGGGGAGCCATGAGTCTTTGCTTGGCACAGGCAGACACTGCCCCAGCCTTGTCCCCTCTGAGCCCCTCTCCACACAGCCAGCCACCGACCTCTGATCCCACATCTGAGTGGGCACTGCCACACAACGACCTTCCCTGGCTCTCTGCTGCCCTCAGGACAAAACGCCCAGGCTGTGTGGCCTGCTCCCTGCCACTGCAGCCACAGTCCCAGTGGGGCTCCACCCCCACGCATGCCTGCCCTTCCCCAAATGCATCCCCTTTGAGTCCCAATCAATAAATCAATCCCTTTCCATAGAGTGTCACTATCGGGTTGTTCTCCGTGCACCACGGTGGCCCCTCCTCGCCATGCCCTGCTCACTCCTCTGGGGGCCTCCAGCCTGCCCCATCCGACACACGGCAGGACACCCAGGACAGGCCATACGTTTCAGGAGTGATCCAAACAGCACGCAGGACAGCCCACAGGTTCAGGGAGTGGCGTCACAGGTTTGAGACATCAGAACAGGACAAAGACCAACCAAGACCATGGATCAAAATTATCAAAGTAAGGATTTGAAATAAACTGCCAAGCAGGGGCTTTGAAAAGCATTAGGATAAGCTCCAGAAGAAGGCCCTATCTTTACTTCCCTGGAAATGCCTGGGGTGAGACAGACACACACCTGGCCAGGATGGTGTGGACACGGCCTGGAGGTTGGAGGATGGGTGGGACATCAGCCAGGAGGTCCTCTGCCCCTGGGAGCCAATGGCCCCTTTACTGGGATCCCCAGCCTTTCTTTATTCTAATGGTTGGAGATAGGATTATGATTATTCTTTCATTTTTTAGTCAGGGGGGGAAATCCTTAAAAAGTAACCATCTTTGCCGGGTACCGTGGCTCACACCTGTAATCCTAGCACTCTGGGACGCCGAGGCGGGCGGATTGCTCAAGGTCAGGAGTTCGAAACAGCCTGAAAAAGAGCGAGACTCCTGTCTCTACTAAAAATAGAAAGAAATTAATTGGCCAACTAAAAATATATATAGAAAAAAAAATTAGCCAGGCATGGTGGCACATGCCTGTAGTCCCAGCTACTCGGGGAGGCTGAGGCAGGAGGATCGCCCGAGCCCAGGAGTTTGAGGTTGCTGTGAGCTAGGCTGATGCCATGGCACTCTAGCCAGGGCAACATAGTGAGACTGTGTCTAAAAAGAGAGTAACCATCTTTTACTCTGGCCAAATTCGCAGTGTGCTGAGATACAGGGGTTGATGCCCATGCCTGCCTGCCATGTGGTCATGTGGCTAGCACCACCGAGATGAGGGTGAGTTTCTAAGCCTTCCCTAGAGTCCTTGGAAACCAGGCCACGTGGAGTCCTTGCCAAAGGCCAGCTTCTGTGAACAAGGGTTTGGAAATGCAACACGACTGCAGTTCTACGTTCCTACCAGGTTTTTCCCTCTGGCAGCCTGGGTGCAGCGTTTAACCTTTCTGAGCCTCAAACCTCCTGTCCTGTTAAACGGTGCTGACACTACTAACCACATACATGAAAAGACTTTGCAAGGCATGATATAAAATACAGGTTTTAAGAAATTTCTAGAGTGAATAAGATGGATACAAAGCTAAGCACTTGATCTCAATGGAAGCATACCCAGTCTAAGGCAGACGGCGTGATTACTTAGAGGATGAAGAAAGAAGTGAGGCAGCCCAGGTGGGTGGAGGAGCAGGAGGGATGGGGCAGGAAGGGCAGCGGGGAAAAGAACCCAGCAGTGTCAGCTGATCACAGGTCCCAGTGCTGCTGGGCTGTCACAATGGCCACTCCGAAGTGAGGCCCATCCAGGAGTGGCCAGAGGGTGAGCAGAGAGACAAAGGACTGCAGCTCCCGTTACACAGCCCAGAGCCCTGAGCACAGCAAGGGCCAGGAATCCTCGCCCATGTCCCACCTGCAGCCACCCGGGGCCCATGCCTGAGAGGGAGGCGCTCAGTCAGGCGGCCAGCTCCCTGGAGCAAGAACGTTCCCGCCCCAGGGCCACCGCAAGGCAGGCAATGGCCAGCCCCCACCGCCCCCAAATCCCCTTAAGTGTGATGGATGGACTGAGTTTTCCTGGCAGTTTAAACACTTTGCATTGATTTGTGTATTAGTTTGTATATTGTTTTGAGAGACCAATTTCAAGAGAGGCTTTGCCCGTCGTCCATCAAAGCGCTCTGGTGCTTCATCTTCATTCCGAGCCGGCTGCTCCTCAGACTCCGGGCGGCCTGCTGCCACGGGACCCGCTCGGGGACCTCCATCCATCACGGCTCGGGGACACCCTGCCTCAGAGCTGCTAGGACTCGCGGGAGGGACAGCTCTCCACCCCCGCCCACTGCGCTCCCTGGGGAAGCTCTGAGCACGGGTCTTCAGCATGCCTCACGGTTTCGGTTACGGGAACCCTTACAACCATTTCGCAGATGGGCAAACAGACATGAAACACTCCCGGGACCTGCGTCCCCACATTATCAAGAGTGATGACGTCTCCCTGGTCTTGGCATTACCTCCTCAGCCCTTCAGCCCATGCTGCAGCGGCCCCTCGGGGCCAGCCCCCACCTGCACCACTTGGGTTCATGCTAGAATGTTCCTGTTACACCTGCTTCTAAGCAGCATTTGCTGAAGAGGATTAAGGAAGGAAGACCAGGGCCACTGTTCAGGGCACAGCCCAAGAGGGCAACAGAGAGGCCAGTGGGGCGGTGGCTTCCTCTGAGACCAAAGCGCCAGGAGTTGGGAGAATCTTGTAAAAGGAGACGGGAGGGGGAACGGGCATGGTGTAAAGCATTTTTCTTAGAGTAAAAAAAAATCACATTTCTGCCTCTGCTGCTTCATAGGAAACACCTCTCTCTGGACACCCTTTCAGGCAGCAGGACAACCTTGCATGCCCCATACATTCATGCAGCGCTTTAGGGTTTACACAGCATTTCCAATAGATTACCTCATTTTGTCCTCACAGGAGGTGTATTAGTTAAGGCAACACTGGCTGCTGTAACAATAAATATGAAAATATGTCGCTTACCAGGTGAATGTAATTATTGCTCATGTAACAACTCTGTTTAGGTGTTTGGGGACCGAAGGTGACTTTTCCTCCCAGCAGTGGCATCATGCAAGGACCCAGGTATCCTGCAAAAGAGACCAGATATATATACTCTTAGTGTCATGCAGTGCAACTGTAAAGTTTATTGGGAAATTTACAGGCAAAAAAAAAAAAACAAACAAAACTGGTGGCTTTCCTCTTCAGGGTGACTCAGGGATCCAAGATCCTTCTGTCTTGTGGCTTCACCATCTTCTAGGGTTTCATTAGACACATGTAGCTAGATGTGATAGATACTAGACACATGTGGCTGTTTAAATTTAAATGCAAATTAAGGCAAATAAAATTTAAAAGTCAGTTTCTCAGTTACACTAGCCACATGTCAAGCTCTCAATAGCCACATGTAGCCAGTGGCTGCCACATTGGATAGTGCAGATATAGAACGCTGCCATCGTCCAGAAAGTGTGGTTGGACACAGCTGCCCCAGAGCTTCCGAGTCTCGGCCTCTGTCCCATGAATGGAGGAAAAGGAAGTTCAGTGATCAGTTGGCCATCTCTGACGCACGTCTGGCTCCCCTCTCTCTAGGTGCAAGAGCTGAGGATCAGAGAAGTCAACAGCTTAGCCAGATCATGGAGGAAGTGGGAACTAGAACTCAGAGCTTCTGGACCCTTTTAGATGGCCTTTCCAGGACACAACATTAATGCAGACAGGGGAAGCTGCCTTCATGAGATGACAGGAGCTCCTCAGCCTCACCCCTCACTGGCCAGGACTCAGGAAGGGAGTAGAAAAAGAGCATCCTCGCCTGAGTGAAACAGCCAAGTCATGCTACATGCAAAGCGGGGATTTTCAATACAGTCCCTTGCTTAACCAAATCAACAGTCTCTATCCACTGAGCTCTCCCTGGTCATTCCTCCAGTGAGAGGTCATCAGCAGCTAGAACCTTACATTTGAAATCAAACTCAACCTCAAAAAAAAAAAAGCCAGAAAAAGAAAACAACAAAAAAAAGATGGTGATGTGGTGAATATCCTCCCAGCATCCTAAATTCATGCAACATGTGAGTAGGAGGTGGGAACTTTCAGCTCCACCCCAACCCCACCCCGACCTCCAGAATGGGAGTGGGGCTGGAGACTAAGTTATAAAAAGTCTTGAACAACAAGACCTGAAGAGCTTCTAGGTTGGCCAACACACTGATGTGCTGGGAAAATGGCACAGAGACTCTGCCCACCACTCCCATCAGCCCCAACCACCTCGCCCTTCCATCTGGCTGTTCCTAAGTTGCACCTATTATAATAAATTAGTAATAGTATATAAAGTGCTTTCCTGAGTTCTGTGAGTTGTTCTACTGAATTCTTGAAACTAGAGCAAGGAAAGGAGGGTCACAGAAAGCCCTTAAATTATAGTAGGCTGTACAGAAATGTGGGTGGCCTGGGCACCCCATTTGCAGCTGGCATCTGACGTGGGGGTCGTTCTGTGCACCTGGGCCCTTAAACCTGGAGAGTCTGACATTACCTGTGGGTAATTAGTGCCTACACAACAATTGAACTGAATTGTTGGACAACCAGTTGGTGTCGGAGAAACAGAGAATTATTACTGGAAACCCACCATATGTTTAACATCAGAAGTGGTGTCAGAAAAAAATACATTACACTTTCAAAATTACCAACATGTATATCTTTGACCCAGAAACTCCACTTCTAGGTATTATCTTACTGACATACTTAACAGTGTGCAAAATGATGGAAATGCAACCTTATGCATTTTGGCATTTCTTAGAGTAGTAAGAAAATGGAAATAGCCAAATTGTCATCTATATTGGAACTGGTTAAGTTATTGAACATATATACAATGGAATTCTATTGAGTTATTAAAAAAAAGATTGAAGAAGCTCTATATTGACATGGAAAGATCCAAGATGTATTGCTAATTGGAAAAAAAGCAAGATGTAGAACAGTGTTTATAGTATGCTACATCTTGTATTAAATGAAAAAAGGATAAAGCATGTAGATTTGCATTGGCTTGAACACACATTTTTCAAATATCTGAAAGGACAAGAAACTAACACCAATGGTGACTTGCATGAGTAGGGAGAGGAAACTGAACAGGTGAGCACGGGGGTAGGGACATTTTCTACTGTTGACATGTGAACATCAGTGTGGAGGTAACACCTATTCAAGAAAAATAAAAGCCTATATGCTCATAGCAGGAAAGGTAGAAGGGACTTCAGACTTCCTATTCCATCCTCCACCCTTTACTGATATAGAAATGGTGGCCCAAAAAGCTCCCTGGCTCAGCTAGCTCTCAGATCTGGCACAGGACTGGCACTAGAATCCAAGGCCCTCAGCCCCCAGTTCAGTGTTGTGAGATATCACCAGACCATGTGCCACCATAGGGCAGGGCACAGCAAGGTGTGGGCAACACCTTTCAATCTCTAGTCCTGACAGGGTACCTGGCACATGCCCACTATTTATTAAAAGTCTTCTGAATGAATGAACATTTGTGTTGTACTTCCTCTGAACCCCGAATCTCTGACTAAGCTAATTAATTAATTAATCACAACCTGAGAGTGATGATGATTTACACTCCTCAACCATGATAGAGTCACATTTTCCCAGAAGCCAAGAATGACAGGATCTCAGGCACCTCGGCAGAGGAAGCTCGTCTAGGGACCTGGCAAGTGAAATGCCATAAGCCACTGCCCTTTCAGCACCTTCTTGCAGAATCAGCCTATGTACAGAACAAGAAAGGGAAGAGAACAAGTAGGTGAATATGACCAACATTTAATATACTTAACATAGCACTCAGGAGAAGACAAATTATTTATTTGCATGTAGATTATCTAATAAAACCAATACCCAGTGGACCTTTGAATTGTGTGGGCTGGAGTGGTGATTTGGTAGGTAGCACCATGCCCACTCTCCTCCTTCTACACCAAACTTACAAATTCAACTTCAAACATTCTTGCACGCTGGCTGGCAGATGTCATTATTGAAACCCTGGGATGTGAAGCGTGTTAGCATCATCCTCTGACTGCCTACCACCCCAGCCAGACAGGCACAGCACTCACGCCTGCCAGCGGCAAAACTTCAGAACCCTCCAGAACATAACCATTCATCATTCCTAATGTGTGACAAACCGAGTTGTAGTGTCTAAACAGGCTGGGAGAGTTCCGAGGGAGATAAGCTAAGTAAGACAATAAACGTGTTGGGAAAGCAGGTTGAGTGAGGGCATCCATGATGGATGGATGTTTGGTAAATCAAAGAGATCTAAGGCTTATGAGGGGAGCCCCAGTGGAGAGCTTTTGGTCACAAATGAGAGGCCTGTTTGGGTCCTTAGACACAGCTGGGTTGATTGCTGCAACAGGAGCAAGTGCTATCAAAGACGCCAGAGGGAGAATGGGTAAGTGAGATGAATGGAGATCAAATCCCATTATAACCAATTCCATTACAAAGAAAATTTCACCTTAACAAAAATATATCCAAGCCCCAGGCATTGGCCCATAATAATCATATATTGTTCAAATAACCTAGTGGGAAGCATGCTGTTCCTTAGTCCTTCTATATAATAGTCTGTAGTTATCACAATGCCCTAGAACATCCCAATTTACCACTTGATGAATGACTTGTGGTATGTGACAATACCCACATTCCTTTCCAACCCTCTCAGTGTGGGAAGTGACTTTTGAAAGGCCCTACTGGAAGGCGATGTCTTGAAAAATGTTAAAGAATCTGTCTTAATAAGAATCTTTACCTCATCTCTTAGCTTCCCATCCAACCAGCTGCCTTGCTCTAGCACCATTAGGAAGATCATTAAAAACATTAGATGACCACCTCCAAATATGCAGAACAAAAAAAGAATTTTTAAGGTTATAAAGATATTACCTCCTTGATTATTTGCTGTAAATTTGAACCCAATCTTTTATTTACCTTTTAATTTCTATTAACTTTTTCACAGGCAAGAGCTTTTTCTTTTTATGGAGTTATATATAGGATTTTTTTTCTTTCTTTTTCTGTTTTTCTAAATGCAATTATATATATTTAAGATGTACAGCATGATATTTTAATACATACATAGACAATGAAATAGTTACTATAGTCAAGCACATTAAAATAATCATTGTCCCACGTAGTTACCCATTTTGTGCATATGTGGTAAGAGCGCCTAAAATCTACTCTTTTAGGAAAATCCTGAGTGTGTAAGAATGTGTTCCATACCTTTGCTTTTAATAGAAAAAGGATTGGAAACAACACACATGTTCATCAAAGGAAGAATACATAAATAAGGACACATTCTTACAATGGAAAAGTACATAGTAGTCAAAATTAATCAACTACAGCTACATGTATCAACATGGAACCATTTTGCAAAAAGGAAAACAAAACAAGAACCCCAAGTTTCAGGCAGATATTTTATATAAAGTTAAAAGCATGCAAAGCAATATATTAAGAACAAATGCTTAGATATTGAAAGTGTAAAGATATGCATGGATATGAAAACATCAAATTCAGAACATTGGTTACATCTTGGGTAAGGTAATTATGGGGCATTTCAACCATACCTATAATATTTTGTTTCTTAAACTGAGTGGTAGATGCATGGTGTTCATGAAACAATTCTTTGGAATTTTGTAAATATCTAAAATATTTCATAATTTAAAACAAACAAACAAAAGTCAATGACCAAGACACATTTTTATTCTTGGTCCCTCTGAACTAAACTGATGTGTCTAGCTCACGTGAGTGCCACAGCCCCCTCTGTCCATAATCTCAGTAGCTTGTCCTGTCTGGAGGTGACTGTCCTGTCCCCCATTAATTGATCATGTAGCTGACAATTCTCTGACTCAGGTCTTCAGAGCAGGCCAAGGTTCCATTGAAGAAAGTTCATGAAGTCCTTTATTTGACTTGCATGGGATTGCTAGCTTATCAGCTATGTAGTGGTGATTTATTATTATTATTATTATTATTCACAATGTGTATTCAGAAAATAAGTTTTTAAAACATCTTTTTAAAAGATGACTAAAGTAATACATAGTCATTATGCAGAATTTGGAAAATTATCAAGAACAAACTCTAAATCACCTACATTACTGTCTCCCTGAGGCATCGTTAACAGATACATTAATATTTACAACATTAGAATCCCACTGAAACATAATTATATATCTTTATTGTTTTCACTTGATAAGTTTTCTTTGACAACATAATTTTATTAGCAGCATAATATTTCATCTCATGGGTAAATCAGTATTCTTCAACCATCTCCATATTGTCGAATAGCAAAGGTTTATTTATTTTCTCTACAAAAATATATTTAACATCACATTCATAATTTTTAAAAAACCCTTATTTTCCACTCATTTCAAAGATTCATACATTTTGATGTAAATTGCAAGATTACCAAGTACAAGAGAAATGAACAGATCTGGGAATAAACAAAGTAGGCTCTTGGAAAGCACACACCCCAACACAGCATCCAGCACCTCCCCGAATCTATCAGTGCCTGGCACCAAAGGAACAGGTAGCACAGGGAGCTGGTTAGCTGGAAGTTGGTTACCAGAGTAGAACTGCTGAATCAAAAGTTGTATTTGTACGTTTATTTGACAGATATTGCCCGATTTCCCTTCAGAAGTTTGTAACTAAATTATACACAAAACATAAATCTATGAAAAGAACCGTTTCTCCAAGTGCTCATCACACCGAACATGGCATTTTTAACAAGCTTGCAAAAAGTCTGCTAATCTATAAGACAAAAAAAAAAAAAAAAAAAACACCATGGCATCTCATTATTGTCTTGATTTACATTTCATTCATAGGAAAGCTGAGCATATTTTCATACTTCTTTTGCTGTCTGTATTCTTTTATATGACTACCCATGGTATCCTCCCAAGTCTTTACGGCTGTTATGATTTTTTTCCATTGTTTTTGTCATTTCCATGGATATGGGAACAGAGGAAAAATAAACCTGCGTACCCAGTCTGCCATTAATTTTTCCCAGGCTTTTCGAATTTATAGACTTACAAAATTTAAAAATAGGGTTGCCAATTCCTTATTTTGCTAAGTTAGGACATTTAGGGAGAAAAACCTACTACCATCTACTTTTACCATTATTTTATTTAAAATTAGAGAGGGGGTGGGGATGAGGAATGAGAATGAGAGAGGACATTTCAACATATCTACAAGAAAAGCAAGGGCCAGTGTCAGAGCTGCAAGATGGCCCTCCTGAAGGACACTTGCTAACCTTATACCCACATTTTCACTTGTCTTGGGCCACCTGTGTGTGACTGGCACTTAAGGACCTCTGCCCCAAGAACCCACATCGGCCACCCCTCTTCCTAGAATTGCCCCTCTCCACCACCACGAGCACCCCAGTCACAGCTGCTAAGCATCCTCATGCACTTTCACTAGCAGGGACAATTTGTGGTTGACGCAGAAACCAGGACAGATAGCTCTGAGGCCTGCAACAGTCAGACTACAGGGAGCAGGAAGTCTTGTCCAGTGAGGGAATCCATACAGTACCACACGGAGAGTTAGAATAAAGCCCTTCCCTGTCCACTCAAACCATTCCTATTGCACCTGTGGTCTTACCCCAGCTCTTGCATCTAGAATGGCAGCCACAATCCTACTGACCCCATGGGCTGCCCCTGGAAGAATCTTCCTGCCTGTTCTTTCAGTCTGTGCTGGAAGCCTTGGCTGCCTTCCCTCTACCACCACCACCCCCACCACACATACCCCTCATCTTCAGCACAACTTACTCTTCCAGACTGATCTTCTATAAGATGATTTGGGAGAAGTATAGTTTTATTGTCTAGCATAATTTATACACTACCGATTTTATTATTTAGCAACTTCTTCTATGCTGGGCATCATTCTACGGATCTTTCAAATGTTTATTGCCCTCCCTTTCCTTTTGCAACAGACCCCAGAGGTGGAGCCATGAGCTGGCTGGGCCATTTGTTCTCTCTCTCCTGGGAACCTGCATGTTGGGCAGAGATGTGCAGGGACAGAAGGGCCCGTGGCGGGGTCTGGAAGAGGAAGTCCATGAGAGGCACTGCCCCATCCTGACAGGGACCCTTGTGTTCTTCTGCTAAGTCCTCCTTGGACTGACGCTACTTAGTGCCTTTGCTTTTCACCCCAAATCCCCAGCTATGTGTGAACACTCCTGGGAACCTCCCCCAAGCCCCGTCCTTTCTGCCTTTTCTCCCACAGCCACTCCTTCCACTTTTAAAGTCCTTCTATGTCCTTCTCTGTCCACTCCCAACCCCAAGGCATGGTTCAGAGGCTGCCCCCTCTTTGAAACTTCTCTGGGGCCCTCAGCAGAAATTGGTTTCTCTCTTCTCTGATCACTCACAGCATGTTCTTGCCTCCAGCCATAAACAACCTTGCATTTCTTCGTGCACTTGCCTTCCATTCCTTCCGGAGGGCAGAAGACTATTCTATACCTTTGATCTCTCATTATTTCCTGCTCACTGTAAATGTTCAATAAATAGCTGGTAAGGAATGAATGGAGAAAGTCTCTCTCTCCTAGGGAGTGAAATTCTTAGTGAGGAGATGTCGATAGCAAGTCATTCATTAAGCAGAGCTGTTCAAAGATGTAATGGACTGTAGAAGCCACCTGTCACTTGAGGCACTCAGACATGGGCTTGTCAGGGATGCCAAGGAGGTGCCTGATATCTGAGGGGCCCTGGGGAGAGCATGGCAGGGGCTGTGGTGAGGAATGGGATGGATGAA